GATGGTAACTGTAGAAAAAAATATAAAGTTTTAATCATTTAAATGTTTGAACTCAAACACTGAGGATATTTCACAAAATATTAAATGAAATCCATGTTAGGAAAATGATAAGTTTTTGTGAAGTCTAACATTTAGTCAAATTAAAAATCAAAAGTTATAATTTTAAAAATCTTTACATTTTATTTAACAGAATCTAAACCAGTTTATTTAAGCAGGCCAATCAGGGTTAGGGAATCAAACACAGAACCTTGTTGCTGTGAGGCATCAGTGCTAACCGCTGAGCCATCACGCTGGCTGTGGCAGAGTGCAGGGGACCATCCCGTATCTGGGGGGTTGCCTGTTTGATCCCCCATTCCAGCTGTCTCAGTTGTTGTGCCCTTGGGCAACCCCCACCCCCACTTTTCCTACTGATGGTGGTCCGCCTCACCTCTGTGGCTACAATGTAGCTTACCACCATCAGTGTGGGAATGAATGTAAACTGACTTTGAATGTACTAAAAAAGCACAAAGACTAACACAACATTATTAAACCAGTTCATAACAACAGTTCACATTAAACTGGTTTACAGTGAACCAGTTTATATTGAAGCGGGTTTGTGTTAAACCAGTTTATGTTTAACAGGTTTGTTTTAAACTTTGTTGATTTGTTCCACTTAAAGTTTGAAATATTTTTATTCTCACCAGAATTTCAATCTAAACTGAAGAAGTTGAACTTAAACTCGAGACAAACTAAAGTTCAGGTTGAGTTTTCAGGTGAGGGTTTACCTGTCTGAGAGAGGGATCCGGTCAGCAGGGTCAGGTAGAAGAACCACAGGATCAGCTGGACTCCTCTGGTCCCCATGTTGGTCCTGATGGGTCCAGACTCTGTTATGTCGGGTCTCAGCAGAACTTCTCCTTTTATAGGTGCAGCAGCAGCTTGTTGACTCAGCAAACGTGTCCATGTGAGCTGCAGCCTCTCATCTTCATCCTCCTCTGCCTCACATATCCATGTGTACATGTACATGTGTACATGTACATGGACATGTACATGTGTACATGTACACACCCTTCCTTCCCTGAAGATTTATCAGATATTTCTGAATCAGGTTTTAAATGTCGGTTCAGACAGAAAATTAGCACTTTCCTGAGGTTTCTCTTCAGATTATTGTAAGGTTTTATGGGTTTTTTCATGAAATAATTATAATAGTTCTACTT